AATCACGCACTATCAACAAACAGTGTGGGAATAAGTTAATGGGGGATCGAGCACTCTGCTTGACATTTTCCCGAACATTTTCTACATACATATAACATATGTGCTTGATGCATATACTTACGAATAAATCTGTTTTCAAACATCTTACTTTGCAAGTTTTAACAAGATGTTTTTTATTTTTGTATTTATAGAAGCGTCTAAAAACGCACAACTCTTAATTATCTCACATCATGTCGAATTGGTGAAATAGTTCTCTAATACCTATACGTCGTTATAAAAGATTGTGTCGGTACATTTTCATTCTTACCTCTACGCGGTTTAAGTTCAAATTGATCTGTAATCTACGAAGGACCGTAAATTATTGCACGCGTTGTGTTCATCGAAATAAGTTGCGTTGGTATTTAGTAACAAACATCTTTCTTTAAGATTGTTATTAATTAAAAACGAAATTACAAATCTTAAATTGAATGGTATTTTTTTGTGAAACATTGCTTTTACTGCATTTAAGCCCAAAATAATTAGACTTTTAGAAAAATTTAAATGTTATTAATTAATTATAAACTCCAATTTTGAAACAGATTTAAATCCATTTCCATCTTGCTGTTATTGTGTTATATTTTTTTTATTTAATACATAAAGTTTATATGTTTATAAAATCTACGCGCCCTAAGACTGTTAAAGAATTTTAATTAGTAAAATATATTTGTCTTATTAATTAAAATACTTTCATAAAAAACCTTGTTTAAATCATTTTTTGTACAGTTGGAAGCGTCATCACATGCACACCTTAGGAAATGCTAATCTTCTATTTTATAGAAAGATCTCATAGTTAATATCACTATTTTAAAGGTGAAATAAAATGGCAACTATGTTAACAACAAAAAAGAACTACGTTGATTGTGCTATTTCTTACTTAGCCCGGAATGTTTTCATTTACAGTTTCGCAAACAAAAATAAAGACTCGCAGTCTAATTATTCGCAAGTAAGTAAGATACTATTTCTGTTCCACCGTAAATAAAACAATTACAGGATGGATCCGAGTATATCTACCTCTATAGATATAGACTATACGCTCATTATTCCTGCAATAAAAATTCGCAATCATTATCCGTCCATTTCGATTATTTTATTTTGATTACAATTTAATGTAAGTTACTTACACAAGACATAAAAAGGAAGGCTGCACATCCAAATATCTTTATGACCTAAACAAAAAGTTCTCAGGAGCACGTTGACCGCAAGTTCTGTTATATTTCATTAAAGCCTGTTCTTTCATCTGCTGTATGCAAATTAAACAAATATCCACGTAATTACACCATAGGATAACAATCAGACTTATCTTACTTAAATATGAAATTACCGTAAAATTAATTTCATACTATTATTCATCGTGTTTTTTTTTCTGTTCACTTCATAATTACTTATTAAGTTTGTACGTTATTAAAACAACGTCAGCCGCTGATTCAGCAAAAAAGAAATGTTTGTTTCAGAGGACCATAAACTTTGAATTTGTTGGAGGCGTGCCATAATAAGTCTTGTTCGAGATCATTTTTCACGGCTATAATCTGGTGTAAATTGCAAAATATCCGAATGCTGACATCATAAATGAATACTCATAGTATCGTTATCACTTGGCAAAGGAAATAGATATAACCCGCACACCTAGTTACTCAGCTCTGTAAATAAGTAATGGCAGCGCCCCCTCGGCGACTACTACTTGATTGCATCTGTTGTCGCTCTTCATATCGCGAACACTGCTGTGATTTAACAACCACCTGTCGTGGTTTATGTCCTCCGATAGCCGCACACGAGGAAGTACATGGAACTAGAAACGAGGCGTGACATTCGCTACCTACCTATGTTGCCACTATCTCACAACAAATGTTCCACAATGTATTATTCTGCTCGCATTTTTCTAGTTTCTCGAGAGATGCTAATACCAAAAGATTATCTCGAAATGACTCTAAAATGTAGCGCCACCATGCTCAAAATAATAATAAGTTTGCCTTGTTATTTATTTTTGCAACATTCATAACGTTTCCGCGATTGTGCATGTTATATACAGATGAAGCAGATCAACAGATTGATACCATAAAATACGCCTCTTTATAAGCCACTCCGACTGCACTGTGTGAATTCAAAACTCCACATGAATGAAACCGACGCTGTAGTTTTTTTTCGTGTTATCTCTTATTTGGTGAACTCATTTGAGTATCAACAAGAGATAAGTTGTGTATTCAGAAGCTAAATGTGGATACTTTATAAATGGGTTTAGCCATGTAGCCAAAGTAATAAGTTGTGTATTTCTGTGCTACGCACCGCAGCTGGAATCACTAATGAGAGCGCAATTCAAATCAACTGATTTATAAGGAGTAAGTTATTTCACCGGCTGCGCGTACAATATTTACTTATGCTGTAACGGCTAGTATATATTGTTGCATATTAGATATAATTGTTGCGATAACAATAACGTGTACTACATTTTAAGTTTAGCCATAATAAATCATGGCATTCTTTGTCATTTATCCCGACAGAACAATACAATGACTGATCCAATTGTCTATATAATTACGAATGGGGATTGGCAATAAGCTAATTACCAAACAACGTGGCTCCGAAATTACATTTCTTTGATCAGTGAGTCCATTCAACTTGTATTGGATGTAAGTTTAAAACTGAGTGATATTAAATATCGAATTGTGAGCATTGGGAGGTCTACCGATTCGGAATGTTGTACTTCAAGTTATATTAGCTCGTTAAGAGTCGGCGGGCCTTGTCCGGATGATATCGCTTAACCCCCTCAATTAGTGTGCCCTGACTATCGCGTGGCAATAACCCGAAACAGCATATAAGCTCCCCGCACTCGTGACGCGACGAACGAACCAAATGAGTGTACTCTTAATTAGCCGTTATACTATAAATTTTAAAAGCGATGATAAGGTCCCGTTGTGGCTGTCCGGGAACACTACCCGTTGGCTAATGGTGCCTTGAGAATTAAATTTAATTAATTCCTCCTCGCCAAACGTGCTTACTGGATCGAACTTGGTTTAGAAATGGATGTTTCGAAGAGAAGGAAAGAGAAAGGAGAAGTGCATCCACCTCGGAATTAATAGGGTTGCTAAGTTAAAAGGCCTTCCAATATCAAATGCAAATACAAAAATGTGGTATATTCTTGTAGACTCTCAAACGATCCCGCCCTGGGGCGCCGCCGATATAAAAGATGCACATAATAACCACATATGATAATAGTACTTATCGGTATGATTGCTTTTAAATTCGTATTTATCGAGATACACCGAGGTCAATTACTCCTCATAACATCAGTTACGTCCTTTATTACTAACATTATCTTTTTCAACGTATCGGACCGTTTTAAATATTTTATAATGATATCTAAATTTGCAGAACGTGCTGCAATTCACGTCACAAAATGAGCGTCTCTGTAATAACAGAAACAACTCCAATGACTTAACAGGTTATCGTTATCGCGGAAGAAAAAATAAATACTCATTGTGATAAAACTTACAATGACTTTGTTGTGTAGCTTAGGCGGGCGGAAAAACGTGTGGCGTAGACCGTGTGCGCTATGTTTAATTTACATGAGCGCGTGGCGGACGAGTGCAGAGCGCTGTTCGCAGCAGTACCTATGCGTCTCTCGCCTTTGTTTATGTTACTGTTTACAGTACATAAATGGAATGAAACTTGTCGACTCTGCCATCCGATAACGGAGCGTTTTGTCTGTAATTAAGAACGGCGAGAGCGGGTCAGCCGTCTACCCGGCATTACCACAAAGTTATGGAGACATTTTGAGCGTGTCCAGATTGTTTAACTACAAGCCTGTCATGTTTAGAATGAACTTGTGTTGTAAATCTGCCATAACGTCATGATTCCAGTAAGATTGTTTGTTAATTGTAGGTAATACATTACTCCCTAATGAACCAGCCACGGTCTTACAGCTCGAGCACCGACATTATGGAAGTGTACTGCGTATTTGTTGTGAGCCTGGACTTACACAACTCCGCACACCGTTATTACGCTAGGCTATTATTTAACTTTTGTGACATAATGTGAGACGGCTTTGAAACTCTAATAATACTTGTAGTCATGTTTGTACAAACCTTTCATAGAACTAACACACACCTGAATCATTGAAATTGCAAGAGTAAATTGAGTTGCACAATGCTACAATAAATCCCGAAAACGTATTTGTAAACACAGCGTGTTATTCAAAACGCATTACATTATTCAGCATTATCGTAAGTCAGCAAGTCGTTTACAAACTGTGACATTCAAGCAATTAATAGGCACTTTAGATGCAAATAGGCCTCAACGATTTCCTTCGTGAGACATCGATTTGGTGCAGTGCTAAGTGAAACTGTGTGAAGAGATCACGAAGCTATAAACAGAAGACAATAATGGTTGTTCGTGGCGCACCGGGAGCCGCGGCCACGTGTATACCCTTGTCCGACTCCGCCGCGAGCTTGACAGTAGCTCCATTTGCATTTTATTACCCCACTCGCCTCTTACATCAATGCTTCCCTACAAATATTTTTAATAGATCGCATTTTTTATATTAAACTCACTCATAGCAAGCCATGTCGATTTTATTATCTAGAAAAGGAGGTTACTTGGCTTTAATTTATGCATGCAGACGTTTCAAATTGCAATGACTATATTATGAATATGAATATTGCTTATTGGTTTTATATCTATTTGCACGTATCTATTACCAAGTCGTGGTGGCCCAGAGGTTAAGAGGCCTCCTTATGCATGGAGGTGCTAGTTTGCGTAGTTTTAAAGATTTTAGCATATATAGGGAGAGGGAAAGTTACTTTGTTACTATGTAGTGATTATTATAAGATTGAAATCACCATTCCACCTTACACAAGAGCGGTGATTAATGCTCAAACTTCTCCTATGAAAAATGAAACCTTTCCTTGGCAGTGGGCATTTACAGGCTGGTGGACGTGTATTTATTGATGTCATTTCATTTGTTACAGCACACGTTGACTGGTCACAGTGGCAAAGTAATGGCCGCCAAATTCCTCGGTGAGCCAACAAAGGTGATCACGGGAAGCCACGACCGAACGCTAAAAATATGGGACCTCAGAAGTAAAATGTGTAAGTATGTACAAACTCATTTGCCTCACAGGAACGTCTTGTTTATTCAAACAGATTTTACTATAACTAAATCCTATTTCCTGATAGTTACCAGAGAAATATATTGCACAATAACTCATAATATTGTATTGTATGAAAACCCTTCGGGCTGTCGTCTTTTATAAGCTGGACAAGTACTAACAGCTTAAATTTAGACGCACGGCATAACGATAGTATACAACCTAACATAAATATGAAATGAAACTCGGGGTACGGTAATGGAAATGTTACAAAAATAACTGATCGTATTCCTAAAGAAAAGCAAAAATTACTTTATTTTATTTATTCCTTAATGATAATTGTCCCTTAATTCATTAAACTTCATTAAGGAATAATTTATTACATATAATCCTTAATTATCATTAAGGACTAAATGAAATAAATATAACGTGCATACATGTTCGTTAGTTTTAGCGAGCATAGAGAAGGCTAGCAGAGCTATAAAAAGGTCCAAATTAAAAATATTAGTTATCTATAACCGATTAATATTTAAGAGTTGCCTCTAGCTATTCCGGCCAAAGACAAGCGTTAAGATATATGTAACAAGATTCAAAAAGCAAAATCGATGACCAATTGAAATGGTGGACACTCTATTTGCTCTGAATGTCTGAAGAAAATTATCTTGTAATCATAATTCATCATCCCGTGTCCTAAGTAACTCTATATTAGGAATTCCAATTTGTTTCTAACATAAAAATAATACGACTAAAAGTTTTTAAATCGCTAAATAATCATCTAATGCCACAGACTACAAATATGACAACAGAATCTTGTAGGGCCGCTTTTAGTTCAACACATTTCGAACAATCAATGGCAATCATAAATTCAAATGCCGTGTTCACCATTAGAAACGAAATTAACATGAAGATATATATTAAACCTAGATCTAATCACAGGTTCTCTAAATCTAGGTAAATGAAACTGCAGGAATCGTGGCAGTTAGTGCTCGATTGTCCTCTCCCAAATGCCGTTATAAGGTTTCGAGATAATATTCATAGTGAAACATTTAATCTAACCTGCGAAAGTACTAAGCATTATCTAGAATTCCAACTGCAAAACTCTTCCTATTTTAGTGTCTGTTAAAAATTTGCATTTTATCTAAAGAGCGGCAATACATTTATTTGATACGTTCGTTCGTGTAATTTATCTAGCAAACATTTGTTTTCCCTTGAGCTTGCGAACTAACACTAAGTGCTGTTTAGAGCTGTTTCACTTAACATTCGTGATTAGTCTCTGTTAACTTTAAGAGGATATTAGCTTCAAAGGTCTTGGAAGTTATCCTTTTTAATAATATTTGTTAGTTTCCGTACAACACTAATTATCTTTCTTTTTTTCTTTTCGCGTTAAGCCGAGTTGTTTCCTTCAATGGTAGGGCTGTAACTTATATACTGGTCTCAATATCTTAGCTACATACGATAGGAGGAGCAAGCATGGCTGTTCTCAGACTATAAACGTCTGTAAACTCGTCTTCATAAACATATTACAATTATTGGATCTTGATAGATAACACCATTAAACTTATGTAAAAAGATTGCAATGTTAACAGGACCGTGGAAACTTGTACAGAGAAGTGATTGAAATCTAATCCGTACATGTAACGCAATTAGTCACTCATTTTAGTGCATCCTTATTCTCATGGCTGTATTATTAATTAGGTTAAGCTTGGTTAATTGAAATTGCCCCTGCAAAATCCTTGATTAGTACTTTTATGACTGCTGTACTTAAAGTTCTGCCATATTTTATACTTGCTTTCACTCGCCACTTCATCCGCTTGGATTAATGACTTCATTTTTATGAATAATTACATCGTAATCAGTTAATTTAGGTTTTACTTTAATATGAGATTGTAAAAAAACAAGGTTTGAAAGATAGATATATGTATAAGAAATGATAATTCTAATAAAATTATTTCGCTCATTTTCAAGTCAGGCAAATTTTAAAAGAAGCCTCATAATTTCTGTTTTTTTTTTTATTAAATTACCTTTTCATCAATTTAAGTTTTAAAGTAACTGAGTTAAATCCGAATTTATTTAATATCCAAAAATAATTATCACCTAATAATTCTCACCTTTATTGATACAAGTTTAGCCCCTTACACCCCCATCAAAACAGTTAGATTTTTTAGTCACATGAAAACCATAATAGACGCCAGGAAGTTAGTTTAATAATAATCAACGAAACAACTTTAATTAACTTGAAAGAAATCTACATAATGAGACCTCCCAAACAAGTTGCCAGCGTATTGTTACTCATATTTCATAAGCAATCATCTATTTATGCTTTAATTCTCAATCGAGTGTGAATAACTACGGCGTCCCGTAGCGCCAACACACAGCTCAATTTATTACATTAGTATTTTTTCAAACACCCTTTATATTGGGGCTTGTCATAGATAAACATCGGATAGCGATAAGAATTGACAGATTATTTAATATTTTTAAATTAACTCATTACGAACGATGTGGTAACTGTCTGCACGGGTATTAACTGAAGCTCTGACTACAAGTCTATATAATCCTGTTGCTTTTTTTGTTAATATACCTAGGATAATTTATTAATATAGTACCATATATAGTTATTACATTAACTTTAGATAGTTCATGTCTTATATACACAGCAATTAGAGTCAGAGTAACTAGATAATACGTATACATTGACATTTCTAATGCCGGAAATTATATTATTTCGTCCAATAACCTCTCCACAGATATGAGTTATTTAACGATGATTATATTACGTTTAATGGTATTTCAATTTCATTTTAGTAGTTTCCTATTTCGCCGCCTGCCAACTTAAACTAGTACCTATAAAGATAAAATATATTTAAGGCTTTCCGAAGTACTGAACCCTTAGCGACGGGTTAACAATAAAACTTCCATTATATTTATATTTAGTACTTTTCTTCGTACGCCTCGTAAAGTAGTGAATTTGTTTAAGCATTACAGGATATTGCTTAGAACTCGTCTAATTGGTTGATGCTCAGGGCTTCACTTATTTTATTGTTTCTACTGAATGGCCTCTAAACTGACGAAAATCACGCTTTTCTTTTCGTAAAGTGACATTGACAATTCACCCTTATTTATTTATTTATTTATTTGACCCTTATTGATACCAATACTTACACTTGAGAGAAACCTTCTTAATTCAGCGCTTGTAAAGCCGTAGACGGAAAACTAGTATCAATGTAATACGAAAGAATACCATAGGTATTGTGGGGCATCGATCTGTAAATCTCATCGATGCAAAGACGGCGCGTGTGGTTAGCCGCAATCAAGTGAAGACTACGTGCACTTGTAATTTTTCTGCGCCATCGATACATCCAAATAAGTTATCGTCAATTTTTTCCTTGAAAGGTTATTTATAAATTGTGTGTCTATTTAATGAGAGTACATTTTTTCATTCCACTTAATATGTCCATTCGTTTAATTGTGAAACTTAAGCTACTAAGTAGACACATCAGGGCCCGAGTTAATTCTAAGTGAAGTGACAAAACTACAAGTTTCGATTGCTACGACAAAAAATACTACGAAATCTCGTAGCGTTTACGTCGTTTGTGGTGTTTTGTAATGTCTAATATTGTTTTTCAAATTCATACGTTGAGTATCCAAAGCAAAGGTGAAGATAATTGCAGCTACCGTGTTTGCAAGTTATGTCCCATGATCACCAAATAAATTTAATACCCAGGAAGGCAATGAGTATACTCATGACGAATTGCGCAATAATTTATTAACAACAGTAAATTATGACATTATAACATCCACTTAAAACACTCATATTAGTCATAAAATTCAACATCCACACAGCGAACGAAGAATCTTTGCTTATGAATGCAATAACACACGCAAGCAATTTACTGTAAACATTAAATAGGCCTTCAGGAAATTTTATTGTTATGATCAACCGTTGTATGGCACAGATTTTATAATGCACGCTTCTACAGGTACCGAGACAAAGTTCGCGGGGTCGTCGTGTAACGACCTGGTGACGTCAGACGGGGCCGGCTCCACCATCATCTCGGGACACTTCGACAAGAGGATCAGGTTTTGGGACATTCGCACCGAGATGTCCGCCAATGATATAATGCTGCAAGGAAAGGTCACCTCGCTTGATCTCAGTAGAGGTATGTGTTTATCTCAGCACCGCTTCTGTCAACGCCAATATATTTAAACGCCGCAAGGAAATGTACCTTTCTTGAACATTCATACACTCATACACTAACAGTCAAAGCATGATTTTATAGACAGCAACGATGAAATGGCACCATTAATCTTGTGCGTCCATTAATATTCAAATGCAAGAAATTAACTAAGTCGTCGAGCAGTTAAAGGAACAGTAGTTAAGATTAACATCGCTACCTGTGTTCAGCTGAGAGACAAGTACACAACATCCAATGTTAAATAGCTGTTTATTGGTTAAAGTACTTGTAAATATTCTGTAATTGAATGCATCGCATATTAGTATCGGTATTCGTGTCAGCACTACAACGTGACGGGTGCGCAATGCCCATTTCCGTTACGCGTTTCTCGATCGATCCCTTTTTTGTCAGTAACGGTCTGGGCATCGCACGAAACGTTCGGATTGATACCTCCAATCAATCGCGGTGTCGGGACGTCACTGCCTCGGAAACTGATTAAATCACGTCGATTTCATCGGACAAATGAATGGGGAGACAGTTCACAGTTAGACATCACGCTCGATCCAGATCCATCAGCGCTATCGACAATCTATCATGCACTGCACTATGTGGCACACAAATAACTAGAGCTCCAAAATGCACGTGTCCTACATTAATTAACCATTTTTATTGAAGTTCAAATTGAAGTTAAAATGTTTTAAGAATTAATTCTCAATTATAATTTTAATTGATAAAAAAACTGTTGTAATTAAAATGATTGCATGAAAGCAAAATAAGAGTTGTGAAACCACGTACTTCAATGAGATAGAAGTAATTTGAAAAAATCGTTTTATCGCTCGAATAGATCGTTCAGAAAGATATATGATAGACGATTGAAGATTTTATTGAAGAAAGAAATGTACTATGTGATAGTTTCATTCATCGAGATTGTTCTCTTCATGTTTATGAATAGTATTGTAAGTGAGAAGATAAATTAATAGAACATTCTTGATAAAGGTATTAAAAATAAAACAAAAAACTTGTTTCACATAGATTGTTGTAGTTGAAATAAACGGTTAGCGTTTAAAAAGTTATTGATTTGATTTGATTGAACGATTATATTGTTTTGATAATAACAATTCAACAAAAGTATTTCAATCATTCTTCTGTTTAACTGCTCTAAGTGTGAAAGTCCTGCTCTTAGCATACGTTAGAAATTTATTGCTTTCTTATCCAATCCTTTACTCAATCGCGCCATAAATGAAGACCATGAAGGTTAGTAATTTCAACCAACACTTTCGAATAAAATCGAAAATGCAAATTTCTATGTTTACATTAATATTTATGATGCATTAAAATAACATGTAATTTATCATTAAAGATTTACGTGTAAAAATATAATAAATTCACATCGATAAATTCTAATGAATGAAAGAACATGTATACGTAAATTGTAGATTATCGTATAAATTGCTGTAGCACGACGCGAGCAATGCTTTCTTAGTACTAAGCTGATGTTAGCACATTGACGCCAATCTCACGTTTGTACCAGTAACAACTAATGGCTCGCAAACCGCATCAGAATTTATTGCTGACCTCAAGACATTTGATCGCTCTTCATACGGACTGATAGCTAATGAAACGATGATGTTATCGTACACTTAAATCATCTTATTTAATAAAGCGGTGTGCTCGATCCGTGAACCTGTTTACCTTACATTAAAACTATTAAGCGCCAGTTAAAGGTTTAAGGTTAAACATTACCTCCACAACGATTATCGAAGCTGCAATAAACAACATAGCGGATTTTCGATTACAAATCGTCTAAATTAGGCGTAAGCTGTATATTTTTATTAAACTTCAATCCAAGTAGAAACCTCTCTGTAAATTGCAATTATTACCTAGTTCTGCTCATCCTGCAAGCGTTGGAAGAGCCGACTATTGGACTACATATTTAAGCGCTCTCTGCTGAACCTAAACTTTAAAAACTACGATCACCTAACCACCTACCATTTGTAGAAATAGTGGCGAATCGCTCTTAATATAAGTATTAAGATTATTCATCATCAGTCTTTCAGTGCTTACTGCTGAGCAAATGCTTCTTCTCACACGAAGAAGGTTTGAGCATTAATTACCAAGCTTGTTCAAGGCGGATTCGTGATTTCTAACTTATAATCAAAAATTGTAAGTCCAGGCTGCCTCGAGGTATTCGCTTGTTTTTTTTTGTGGCAGTGGTGTCTAAATAATCAAAAAAAGTACATATAACTCGGAAAAAGTCACATTGGTACTTGCCAGGCTTGAAAAGCGCACCCTCGTGCACGAGAAGCGGGCGCCTTAACTTCCAAGCCACCACGACAACTAATACTACTAATATATTAGCCATTTTTAAAGTTCTTATTAACACATAAAATTTGTTTTCAGACAACAATTACCTGCTGGCGTGTGTTAGAGACGACACAATACAACTAATAGATCTGAGGATGAATACCATCGTACGTTCTTTCAGGTACGTACTCATGTACGCTGCACTATAATTTATTATTATTACTTGTAACTCTGCTGCGCTAGTATAAAGTTTTATGTCTTTTCCTGCGATGCAATAGTCTAAGAAATCTTTACTGTTAGGATTTTACGACTCTCTCTAGAACAATAGTGGCAAACCAAATAATTATTGCTTATACATATTTAAATTGAAACTGACATACAATTCTTATAGATTCTAAGGTATGGGCTTTATTTCAGTATAACTTTTGTGGTTCTAAATGAAATGCAGCAAAATATGTAAATGTAGTGTCATGAAATTTTAATAGTGAACTCATAAAAATGAAAAGAATGATGTGAAACTGTTTAGAGAAAATAAAAATTTATATGAAAAAATATTATCGAATATAAAAAAGAAATTTACTAAAAATAATATGTGTCAATTCATGATAAGTACTGAGCATTTCTGACCGTTTCTGAAGTTTCTTTCTCCATTTTTGCAATAAAAAGTCAGTTGGTTTGGAGTTCTTTGTGTTTGAAATAATCACATATAACTATAACATTAGAAGACCATAAACATATCACCTTTTGTTTATGTTTCGTTCCAACATACATCAGTCTAGCGCGTTGATGTCTTTTCTTTTACAAACATTTATTTGGTTCTCACACATAAATCTTTGGCACTACAAAAAATACTATTTCCTTTTACTTGTCATACTGTAAAATTACATTAATTGTACATCTTTGTAGATAGTAAAGGCTTCTTATTTTTAATGTGTTCGTTTTTTGTAAAAGAAACACGTTTTATTTAATTACATTTACTTCCTGTTCTGTAAATATATTAATTATACTTATTGTGTTGTCAACTATAACAGATTGGGATCACATCGTTTTATATGAATAACTGAAAAACATTGAACGCCAACTTTATCTCGATGAAATTAAATAATTACTCTCATAAGAAAGTTTCTTAGCTTGTGCTTAATTGGCGTTTCGTTAATTGATTATTTTCAGTATTCGGTTGATTTATTACATTCAGATAAAGAAGAGATTGTGATCATTAAATATAAAATAAATAATTATGTTTATTAATTTTACAAGAATTACTGTTTCATTAATAAAAATTTAATTAAATTTCGACTCAACACGAGAAACATTTTAGGCGTTAATTAATTAAAGACTTTTTAATTTCCATCACAATTAAAAAACAAATAACATTCAGAAAATGGCCGTTCTAAGTTGGCCACATTCCGATGTGAATCAGAAGGTATCCTGAGCACCTGTACATTAAGTTTCTGCGATAGACTTATTAGTGTCTACGTGACAAAGTGTACACGACTAATTGCATTTCAGCCAATGTTGTTGTCCTTATCACTCTTTACTGTGTAATGTGTATCTATCCCTTTCTTAAGCGGTGGAATTATTTGGCGCGTAGTATACAGGGCTACTAATTGCATTTCAGTCACGAGTCGTTCAAGGTGGGGTGCGACTGGTCGCGGGCGGCGTTCGGTCCGGGCGGGCGACTGCTGTCCGTCGGTGCGGCTGACGGAGCCGCCTATGTATGGAACACACATTCCGGCCGTCTTGAAACTATACTCAAGGATCACACGTAAGTCCTTCTTTTCAAATTAATGTTATAACTTACAAATATTTTTTTATGCAATAGATCGGCAAACGAGCTGATGGATTACCTGATGGTAAACAATCAGCGCCGCCCATGGACACCCGCAACGGAGGAGTTACGAGTGCGTTACCGACCTCTTAGGGATTAGGGTTTTAGAGATTAAGGGATTGGAGAGGGATCGGGGGAAGGAAAGGATGGGGCCTCCGATAACCTCACTCACACACAATATTAGAAAAAGCTTGCGTATTATTTATTCTAGACCATAATTTTATTTTTCTTTGAATAAATTTCATTCTAAAGGGTAACAGTGTGAATATTGTAAGATTGACAAAGTTTGGAAAAATTTTACGTCCTTTATTTACTTGTTCAAAGATAAGAAAAATGTAAAGTATTTAACACAGAGAATGGTTACTCGTAACTTAGTATTGTGTTACTTAGTTTTGTTGCAAAAAAATTCAATATTTTCTCTATTTATCACTCAAGCTTTTTAGGAATATTTTAGAATTATTATGTTATTAATTGACTTTCGTGAATATTAATGAGAGAATTATCTCCAATTAACAACTTCATTAATTAATGATTATCTCTTTTTATATTTCGTGACATCAATTAATGTTGCTGTTTTTATGTGGTTCGAAACAAGCTTTGAGTAAAACCTGCTTAGAAAACTAAATGTAAAAAAACATCTTAAAATATTTTAAATTTAATATTACCTACATTTATTAGCGGAGTGTTGTATAAACCCGATTGCTGTGCCACCCACAACGTTCAATAACAAAACTAAACTATCCAAGAGACCGCACCCACGAAACAAATCTTCGATATCGGTGCAGCCATTTGTATAGAACAATACATAAACATGTACACAGATTTTATGCAGTTGTTAAATAAAGTCCCACGTCTACTCAACACAATTTTAAGACCACAACGAATGCTTTTCCTGCATATTCCTGTTATAATTGAGTTCTGTGATTAGTCCAAAGCGAGCCATTTAAACTGAAAATCACTCGGTGAAACACAATAACCATAAATTCAAGCTTGATCATTTACACCTCCGCGGTGTACCTGTGATGAAGTAACAACGACAGCTATGACTATAGTCTGTGCAACGGTCTCTCTGATCAGGTCTTCAAGTTAAATCTCGTTCCGCTAATTAGTTTATTGACTCCTATATCTGTGCAATGATGATTATGTCGTCGCATTAGGGTATAAAATAAAACGGTGATGTCACCGCGCTTACGAGTATCTCTATCATGATAACTAGTATCGCTGCACTAAGTACTAAGTTTATTCTAAAAGATAGCGAAGTGCATAAGCGGCTGCTAACTCGCTGATTTACTCGGACCAATGCAACCAGTTCCTCGACTTTTACAACTTACCTCGCTCTCTAAAGATCAAGATTCTAATTAATTATACCTCGTAAATGTAACCGTCAGCAAAATATACTTACCTACGTCAGAATTTTGCAAGACAATGACATTACTTTGATTATAAAGAGCGATATGAAACACAATAGAAATAGCTCCAAATCGTTCCCAGTTGAAATCCATATTTGCTACTAGACAATAAATCCATTACTATAATCACAAAATACCTAATTTATATCTTGAGTTATTGAAATAGCTCTCGATATAATCTACAGACGTCCTAAACAATAGCTCACCTATAGCGTTTGCGGAGCGCTGCAATTTGTTTTCAATTCGTTCGTTTCTTTCTAACTGTAACTGTGGCTCACGGAAGATGTGACCTTTGAGGTTCGCAATAAATTTTCAGCAGACACATTTCTGACCTTGAATTTTAAACTGGAATTGTTTTAGTCGCGACATCGTTCGCTATCCCCGTAACATTTCGCATGGACAATTGAAATCGTGAGGTCAACATTGGCTCGACTGTCTCACCATTGCAAATTTCTCTTTCCCATACCGTACACTGCATATTTATTTGGCATTAAGCTATCGTCACACCTGCTCGATGCGATTAAAGTAAAGAATGACATTTGAATCCATTTGAATACGAAATACCAAAACATTGTAGGTAATGTGATTTTCCGGAATCCGGCGAGTAATCTAAGCTTGTAGGAAGGCATTACGTTAAATTGCATTGTATTTACTTGTGCCACACTTTGATATTTAATTAGTTGAATATTAAAGACATATCGTACATTTAAATGGCACATTATTTACGATAGCACTTCCTGGTCGTAGACAAGCGCGGCAGTCAAAGGACTGCTTGCCCTTAGGTCTTGTCGAGCGTCGCGTCCAGTCTTATCGGCAGCGCTCGCTGCAATAGGACTTGATCGAATCTTTGTCAAGACACCCGCGCAGCCCGTCGCTGGGGCCCATTCTCCCGCAGATCGCCGCAAATGGGACATATTGTTCCCTCGCTGTGTCTACCACAAGTGCACGGCGCGATGCAATCGCACTTAATTTGCGCCAACACACCACACACAATAGTGTAAACAATTTTACCGTAACAAGGACAAAAGTAACGCGGAAACATTCCTCCGCATCTCGACATGCATATTTTCGCTTAGTAATAGGTACCACACTGATGTCAGTTTGTTCAGTGTTCGATGTGAGTTTGAACAGTTAAGCTACGCGCCCACTTTATTACTGTATTGTGGAGTCTGATTCAATATTGAAACAAACATTACTACGGTTTCCTACAATATACCGTTGCGACATAAAACTCTTATCATCCCCGACTAAAATCAATTCGAACACAACAATATCGAAATAAAGTCAGATGAACAATAAAGATTGTTTTCCTTAAGACTAGCCATTGTTTTCTATTTCATACTCATACGCTTTTAACCGCGAAAGGATTGTAACTATGACATGTGATTGCAAAAATTTAAATTACTTCCTAATATGTGTCTTTCTAAATGTTTGCTTTTACATTTTAAATAAAGAGTCTTAACGTCAGTAAAATATTTTAGAGACGCTCACTCAATCAAATTATTGCTACCACCAATATCAGTCTTGTACAAAAAAATATTTGGGATAAATTATGTTAATAGTTTACTCGAAGACAAATAATACATGTTATAGAGAAAATAATAAAACATGTTACAAAGGGTTTGCTGACTCTAACAAAGCGTTTGATACTTAGGAACATAAAAATTTAATAACCAAAGGGTACAAGCAAAATACATAATAATATGAATAGTTAAAACATTACACAACGAGCACAAGCTAGGTTTGAATTTACAGCCAATGAACTTTGTAATAAACGAAGTTTGCACCAAGGAGATCCCTTATCACCTAAATTATTAACAGCAATGCTGGAGATGATCTTCAGAAATTTAGACTTCGATGATGATTTGATTTTGTTCTCATAACACGATGGGTTTGGGCCTAATGTTACAGCAACTTTCTAACTCAAGTGATAAGGCTGGATTGATAAAGAACGTCACTAAAACTAAAATGACCACGAACACTCAATAAACAGTGACCAACGGGTCACTCTAAATAAAGAAGAAATAGTATATATATTTGGAGTAACTAATAAGTATCAACGTACGTTGAATAACAAATACCTACAAACAATTTTGGTAAAATAATAAAAGATGAGACATGCCAACGACCGGAGAAAAGGAGGTATAAGAAATAGGCATATGTGCCAGACATAGATGTCAACAAAACTACAGGAAAGCAACCTAAAAGTCTGACAAATGGAAATAATGGAAAGGAATATTCTAAGTATAAAAATATATAAAATAAGTCACTATTTGAAAATTAAATTAAAACAAAATTTTAAAATGCACTCACGGTCTTAAGTATAGGCATACTCGTATGTTCAAAAAAACTAAAGATACTGTATGGTACCTAAGCTACCGCAAAAAAATACGATAATATCTCAAATGCAACTTGAAATTTATAGGATTGGATTTTATTTGTAAGTGGGCAAAAAACAGCAAGGATGACTTTTTATTTTATTATTATGTTATTAACCGTACGCGAATCTAAGCAAAATATAGTGAATGTACTGCAGCATAGTGCACACTGAAGATGATGTCGGACGGTACCGGAATGGTGCGTGCAATAGTACTGCGATGTTAGTGAAATGGTCTTTGGTTGTGCTTATGTACGTCATCGAAGAGTACTAGGCGTACGTTGTATTCGAGTTGTCCGATGTTCACGCCCAGCAGGCGGCCGTCGCACAAAATTAGCTCAAACATGTGCGACACACATAATTGTTGTCGTCCACGATTACCATGATTTATCTCGCAGACGCACAATCGTTGAATCTTATCATTAAACTCGGAACAAAATACATTATTGGCAATTAATCGTCTTCGAATGGCTATCGATTAAGGACGATACAGATTGCTTGCGAGTTGCGATCCTGAGATATCCCAATTAAATATGCGTGGAATGTGGCTTAGAGCTAAAAATAATTCGTAAGTCGGTTCGTAGTTTACTTTTTGTTATGATAACTTATTTCAAAGTGGAAGTAGTAAACTTGACAAGTGCCGATAACTACCACCTCGCGTGTATGCTCTTAATAATTTCCGCGGCGGATAGTTTATTCGTTCTGTAAAGAAGTTATTGCCTAATAAACGTTCGAGATTATTAGTAGATGTTCATTTTCTTATGTGGAGTAAAGAAAATACGATGCGTACCATTCTAACAGCGACAGATACGAAGTGAAGTACATTTTATCTTAGTACTAAGTGACTGCAGAGCTTGGTTCGCGTTTTAAATAAAGCATTTCTTGAAAGCGACTAAGGCGAGTCTCTTTTGTTGGAAGTCCCGTATGATCAGTTTTTAACTACCCTCAAGATCACAAGCGTGAGTACGGTATGTAGCGTATGTCCGGACATTGGTCTCGACTAATCGCGGTGCATGCTTTTTGTAGCGGAAAGGGTAACGACCGCTGCAGATAGGTTCTTGAAATTACTTTATTGGGTAACCTGTTTCCGAACACTGAAGGCCTGTTACTTAGTTATGAATCAAGCCAAGCCGGGAGTAAGAAATACGACAATGACATACACATTTATGTACGTCCATTTATAGCAATATAAATATTCAAGCTACGTGTAAATATCGGCCATGCGCTAATAATATTTTCATGTACAAAATAAATCGATCAACAAATCCGGTTATCAACATTTTATTACTTTAGTTCAACGTTAATTATTATTTACAACGTTTTCCAAACGTTGCCCTGTAGACGGAACCATTAAAGCCATCACTTAATTAACTGCGCATGGAGTCCAATATAGAAATTGAATACATTAACGGTTATTAAGTTTGTGACGAGGAGTTAGTTTCTGACAGTAATCAGAGCAGTCGGAACAACATGTTGGCGCAGGCGCACGTACTGCTATGATATGATTCAATAAAAACAATCATGATATCGGAGGCGGAATGCAATAAGGAAACAATCGCAGGTTTTGCTTACCAGATTTGTTCGTGTTACGGCGCTTCCTAGTCCCCGTATTGGATATCCCTGGTCAGGCTCGTTATACGCGACCGGGAGCGGTATGTGTAAACGAGCCGAACAAACCCGACGCTAATTCTTGTTTATGAGAGGCCTCGCCCCGCATAGATACGATGTAAAGCCTTTAAGCGGCCTCCGACAATCAAAGCTGCGTACAACAGTTCCTATACTCGAAATTGTACGACTATGGACTTGTTGGGTCACAATCCTTCCTTATAAGTTAAATGGATCCCGCAAACTGAAATGTATTTCAAACGTCGTGACCGCTCTGCATTCTACGATCATCTTCGGTATATGGTCAAGAATATCTGATTTTTATTGGATATTTTTTTTTATTAATCTCATTTAAGAACCGATGTGTTAATAGAGCCCGATGAGTATCTGTAAGTGCTAGTAACACAGATTTAAAGTGCGACATAATATTCGTAATGTACGGCCATATACCGCCGGATACCGTTCATAGTCTCCTCATATAATATTCTGAGAAACGTAACGGTTCATGCGACTTGCACACAAAAACGCTCCAGTTTTATGATAAACTAAGTACTTGTTTTATTTTATGACCCGGTGAACTTAGATTTTGTCGGAATTCCTAGCTCGCTTCAAAGTTTAAAACTTTCAATTTTTGTAGCCGATCTAAGAAGAAATGTTCGTGTTACACGCGTATGATCTTGATTGTGGCCTGGCTTGATGGTCGCTATAAACATTTTTGCATAAATTTTCTGGCTAAACCTTAATTTGTTCAATCATCATCAGCATCAATGGTTATAAAATGTTTGTGTCAGGTACTTAGACATGTAGATTGAAGTTGGTACTTTTTGTGAGACCGTTATACGTAGGAGCATGATATTTAACCTCTTTCATAATTAAATCAGAAAGAGAATTAATTATCGTTATAATACCCAAATTGTAAAGTAATAACACGGCTTCACAGAAAAATTACGTGAAAGAACTACAACGTTGTGTTTCGCCGTGTGAGGGAGGTTATCGGAGGCCAAATGCTTATGTTAGATTGGATTAGGTGCTTCTTTATAACTGCTGCTTGCATTGCACGGGCTGCTGCGATGGATCGCCAATAGAAGGAGGCGACCAGCCACTGCCGAGAGGTCACGAAAGTCGTTTTTGGTTCTCGTGGCTTTTCCCAAAAGGCAAAAGACGGCACGAAAGCTGAGTTTTTAGTGGGTGCAAGCCCCACATAACCTCACCGTCTCCCCGGGCGGTGTGTGTATGCGTAAGGCATTTTCTCAGCTGGAAAAAAAGGTGCTTCTTTATAATACCATACATAGTAAGTCCCTGAACGGCTGAACCGTTTGGAACCGTTTTTAAATATTTTTGAAATCTTGGTACATGTGCATCAATGTTCACTGTTGGAAATTGTGCTAATGCCATATAAAAATGTTAATTATTTTCAGGTCAGCGGTAACGGCGGTGTCATGGCATCCTCAGTCCGGACTACTTGCGTCAGTAGATCGCGGCAAGCGCGCAGTCATCTGGGGAGATTTGTGACAAGCCTGGGAGGCACCCCTGCCTTCGCCACCACCCGTACAGGTTACTACCTTGTTTTAGACTACATAAGAGCAAAAACATTACACCGCCTATAAATACTACTTTTATTAACGCATGCCTCGACAATAAACCACTAAAATACTTAAGTAAACCGGGATACAGCTTATCATTAATGAATTCCATCAAACAGTTATAATGTTCCTCGCTAACTCCTTACAAAGTGTACGACAATATTGTACACTACAACTAATTTAGCTGACGGCTTTAACTACAAAGTGTAGCGGTATCACGGGTGTTGCGCGTCAGACTTACCAACTAAAAGTACACACATTCGTAAATTCCGCAGCAGTGGACAATTAGTAACAAGCCGTCTGGCCATCATACGACCAATATTACAAGCAGTCCCTTCACAATTCTTACTGCTTTAGCATCGCTATAAAAGGCTAATAGCAAACATTTATGTTGTCTTTTATTAATTAGTTATTATTCAACATAATAGGTACTATGGTATACACTTAAGTGATGAGTACCGACTCTCACAGCGGACATACTGCCATCAACGTGGTAGGTTAAAAGGTTTACACCACTGTGAATTCTTGACATTATTATCTAGTTTTGTTTCCGAGTCAGCTCTCCTTATCACTAGGACAGCATAGTAACTCAACACGTCGTTAACATAAATATAAACATTACAACTTTTTAACGACACATGAAATGTTGACGTTTTTATTTGTAGTTTCACATTTTCGACAATATTTTCGACACGTTTCTCATCCATTTTAATCACGTATGGTACAGCCGGATCGTATGCCTCGTAGATTGTTGTCGCCGCTCGTTCCGCTGTCAGATAAATGACTAATGACTTTGAACTATTTAATGTAGAAGCCGAAGCCTTTATAACGCTTCATCATTATTGACGATTTTTTGACGTCGTCGCTTTAAAAGGTTGATTTCGTGTTTGTATAGATTTCTACAAGTTATAATAATCACTGAGGATATAAAAGTTTAAGTGTGCCATGACCGAATATGTAGGCAATATGGACATCTTTTTTTGGCATTATTAAATTACTACGTTTTATCTAAATACAGGGAAGTGTCTCGTTCAAATAACTAATTATAAACCGATCCTTTTTTGTTCAAGTAACTACATCTTTAGCTTCGTGTAATATGAACCGGACACATAAATTTTACTTACCCATCAAAAAAATATAATATGAACTCGTTACACAGCTATAACTTTAATTACCACCCGTAACTTAATTATCACATATTCACACTATAGCATAAAATGTTTATAGTTAAAAGTGTTAATATATTTTTTGTAATAAAAAACGCCCCAAACAACATGCAACTACCCCTTCGAAGAATCAAAGGTTACGTTAATGTTAGAAAATCATTCATTTTAAATTCAGAACATGGTCAAGTCTTGTCTATGTTGTAAGTACTTACTACGAAGCATCGCTAAGTCTTAATAGCATAAAACATAAAAGCAATGTCTGTTTTGTACTATATCGCTAAATTCTTTAGAGCACGGTTGTGCCGTGAAAATGTGTTTATTATGCAGATACTCAATGCCTTCAATATTATTAAAACACGCATATAAGCACGGCATGCCCCAACTACACGCACCAAGCACGTCAAAATCAACTAAACTGACAAATTTCTCAAAAAAAAATCTGAACTTTATAGTTTGGTAATAAAGTTGCAAATGTATTATATAGTAAAATAAGATATGCTGTTATGTCTTCTAAACTGTGTACTATGTTATGTACTAGTAAGGTTTTGAAACAACTAAATCGACGATATTATAACATTAGAACACAAACTAGACAGGCTTTCGTAAAGCTTAGCATTTGGCGTGGCCAACCGAAATGACCCAAATGTTAATATTGAAAATTGACTCCAAAGTTGGCGCATTGACTAAGCAGTAGAATGCTATGCAATGTGTATCGACTATGTGATTTATAAATTGTTTTTCCGAATATGTGTGTACTGTATACCTATGTATATTTCAAATAACTTCAAACAACAAAACATATTGAATTGTTTTACTTACTTTTATATTATGAAATGAAAAGAGATTAAAAGTCCCTCCTTTACATTTAACTAATTATAAAGATTGACCATCCTTAGGTCTTTAGGAGCCATATTCTTTTGGGTTATTCCATTGCTTAATAATACCCAATATTTTTTTTATATTTAGGTAAATAAGTCAAAAATAAATAAAAATATCAATTGTTAGCATTACATAAAGGAGGCAGTACAGTAATACACTTCAAAATTTTATAATAAAAACAATATTTTGCGTAACCGAAGCACTTGCTTACTTATATAATATAATGAGTGCTATAAATTATCATAATATACGTAAGACATTAATTACCATATAATAATTCACTTAATTTGTTCTTTACATCAGCTTTAATTATAATTATGTTCACGTGGCTGTACTTACTATGGTAATAAACTTTTATTAAAAAATAACATTCCTGCTTCGTTGGTTGAGACGTCGCCGTCGCAAGCGTGACTGCCGACCTACCGATAGTTTAGACCCCAAAAATAGTTTTTTCGATCATCTCTAAGTTTGAGGACCACACACAGAACCGAACCAACATTTTCTGCTCGCCAAGTCACTGTCACAACCTTGCAGTCTTGTTGGAACCAGATTTTTTACGAAACTTTAACACTCATATCATATGAATTTTACCATAATAAAGAATTAAAAGCAACCTCCATAGACTTGAGATATTTATCATGTTTCTAATGTGTATGTATGCAAAAACGCCTCGCATCTAAGTTTAGAAGTTTTTTTTTACTATGGTTCAAGTTATTAGTTACGCGACGTCATCAAACCATTAAGAACTCTAATTGCTCCAAATAACATATCATTTTAAACGGCAATGAAACATCGTGTGTGGTATAAATAAAAACATGGCGGACTATAATTGTAATTATAGTGTTGGAAGTGCTTTTGTATTTAGGGCTGATTTTTCAATAGTCAGATAAATGTTATCTGAGTAATAAAATTGTTGCTGTCACTGTCTTATACAAACATTCTGACGCGACAGCTTTATAGTTATTCCGCAGATAACTTTTATCTAAACATTGAAAATCAGCCCTTAGTCTACTTTTATTTACATAGTTTCTGAAACTTCATGACTTTACATAAAGTCGTAAAGTAAAATAGTACCGAAAATCTAGCATTGTCATCACCAGCCTATAAGTACACAGCTGAGCTAATTCCTCTTCTCACACGGACAACGATTGCGCATTAATGCACTTGCGGCGGCGTTTTTTTTCAGCTTATTTAAACTTAATAAAATAACTCTTTAAAAGTCCTATTTTTAATTCCAAGGGTTCGAACCGGCCTCCTAATGTGTGAGTGCCACCAGTAACGTAACAAAAATCTTAATAAGTTTTCATAATACACTTGTATTATCGTAAATGACTAATTTATGTGCATATGCATCGGCTCTTAATTTATGTCGGTCATTGCGATGAGTTCAAGATTGATATGTCCACAATGCGCAGACGCAACCGAGCTCCGGTAGCTCTTATTTGACGCACAGGTGCGAGCCGTCGCCTTTCTTACACCATTACAAGCACTTATTACTAGTGCACAGACTCCATTAAAAGCTTTAAATATAATACTATTTTACAAAGCTTCGTAAGAGATACAAGTCTATCCAATCCCACAAAAGCTGCTTCGTTATTCACACACAAAACATCACCCGCATCTCCTGAATAAATCAACTGTTGATTTTATTCAAATCTGGAAATGCATTCTATTCAAAACCGACCGTGAGTCCACTCAAAAATAATAATGCTATCTAGAACATGTCGCATTGTGTGCGATACCTGGTTAAAATTTATGCGGTGGCTAATTCTGTGTCGATGACCGGCTAGACTGCTAATGGCCGTCTGGGAGTACGCCACCCTTGTTTTAAAAAACTTTAAGAAATACAATTGAAAATGTGTTGTATACAATTGACGCACAACACAATGCCGCCGACAAGTGAAAGCGTACTTTCGACTTTCATTAAGTTTTTGTGTAGTGTATGTATGGGTCTCAAACGGCCGGACCATATTGTCTCGCGACATAAATCCGCCGAACTATTCTGAATAAAGAAGTCCCGCGGAGATATTTGCTCGATTTTTACTTTCAAACCAACAAAGAACGTGATGAAAGCTAATTAGATAATAAATATTTTTTACGATTATTTTTCCTATTATTTTTTTCCTGGATAAGATGTCGTAGTAAAAAGGCCTATTCTACTAATTAAACAAAGAAGATAACAAGAAGCAATTTGATACAGATGATTAAACTACGATAAAAGACAATTGAAACCCCAGGCCACTAATGAGCAATAACACTAATTATTTCAATATTGGTTTGACTACTTAGAATGGTAGTGACTATTAAAGGCACAAAAACAAACATAGGAAAATAAAAGGAGGACGGTTAATAAGTGGGTGTCGGCGATGTAGATCCTTACCGTATCATGTATTGGATGTTGTCGCTGCAGGCGATCGACACGAATCATGATTGGCGTGTGTGTGGATCGGACAGTCATCCATCAATTGTATACAGCCTGTCGATCGACACAACACTAGTGGTGTTAACCGTATAAATCGACTAACACAATCTGATAACATTTTAGTTGCTTGATTGAAAGAAAACTATTTTAATGGAATTAACATCCGTTTCTAAAGAAAATAAAATATTAAACGCAAACATTGTTTTCGTGTCGGTATGTCGGAGATTATACCAATAGCTACTGTTTATTTAATTCCTTTGACAACGATTCAGACAGCAGGTGAATCAAAAGTGTGCCAAATCTTAATCAAAAGTCACCGTCAAATAATTATAAAATAAACATGTTGTTGTCATTTTTGGGAACCGTCATGCTGCGCCATACCATGGAAATTAATTCAGTTAAAAGAACTGTAAAGTATTCAAAAGTTAGTTGAAAAGCCAGCACAGCGTCCGGTCGGTTGGCGTTACTCGCCGAATTGAGGTGGTCGCGAGCTCAACACGCGCGCTGGACCGTTCACTAACCGTTTGTCGCCAAAACGAAGCGGAAAATTTAATACTCCAGCTCTGTACGTGATCAGTATCATTCTTTTTGTACTCGCACTCTGATGGCACACTTTCGTTCTCCATTGGGAGAGTTCATCTTCTTCAAACTTTTTGTAACACGTCACTATTACATTGTATTAATTATAATTGACCGGTGTACACACAATCAAATTATATTTAGCTTTCTAGATCTCTCACACAGATGCGAACGCTTTATAGTTTTCGAAGTCTGACACAGATCTATTCATAATGACCATCAATCGTCAATCAAAATTAATGTATGATTATCGGGTCACCATAAAAACTAAACTATTCTTAACGTCTATAGATCACAGATCAATGTCCATTAGTAGTTACTTTCATCCACAAATTGCTTTTAAAGCCCAACGCGAGTTCTCAAAATGTCCATCAAAAATCACATTTTCATCAAGTGGTTAAGAAATATTAATTTGAATCTTCTTTTGTAAAATTAAAGGCTCCATGAGTTAAGTATTGCATTATATGTTTAAATTTGTCCCAAAACATCTCAGCGCCTCATCTCGATACCGTTGCACGCCGAGGCCGAAGTTTCGGCGTAATGACCTGCGCAGGCGCTCGGCGCACGATGTCGCAGATCTCAATCATCTACGGCTGTAGCAGTAGCCTCGTAAATTACCGCAACACCACACCGACACCAACATTAATTACTTATTTAAAACTTAATAAGACGCTTTGTGTCGAATATTTCGAGGAAATCGTAATTTTTGCGGTACAAAACTTTAATGTCTGGTAATATATATCAATCATTGCTTTCATGAATAAAATAGTAAAAATGTAAATATAATTTTGATTGTTCCGATAAAAGAATTTCCCACCGTAGTAATGGCTGTGTTTCGTCAGCTGCAGACTGCCTGTGATCTCCGCACCAAAGTTCTGACATTCACATTAGTTGTAGCTACAGCGATTGCACCGTAATTTTACGGTCTGTAAATTTCGTTAGATACAAACTAAGCTTAGCTACGAATAAAAACATGAAAAAGTGTGGTATTACGAAATGATTGAAATGTAATAACATGGTTTTAACATTTCATGCTTATTTCAATTTCGCTAAAACACTGTGTTCGAAATCTGATAAAAATAATTGTAGTGCACTACACATTCAGTAAACACGAATAAATCAAATGTAAACTTGGTAACCGTAAAGTACATTATCTTTACTGGTAATTACTCTGCCGCATATAGAATTAAAGTTAATAACGTATCGATAAATTCGCTACTTTAGAACGGTCAGTCGAGCGGCGACCGTACAGCGGTACCCGAAAAAAACTTGACACCAATTTTACCGTAAGACTATAATACACACATGGAGGATCAATTAAGTGTTACCGTTTTAGGAATAATTATATTTTTTGTATAGGTTAGTAAGGCCGGTAGTCAACACGCAACATCACGGGGGGTGACCGGAGGCGGGCTAATAGCTGCTATTAGCAAATCGCTCTGAGAAATCGGCAACAATGAACACGAAATATGCTCATTGCCGCGTCCCATTCATTAAACTTTTTGCGATACAATCTCTCCTGTTTTAAATGTGTGTCACACTCTTTTTCTTTTCATCTCTAAATAAACGGAGCAATTTGCCCTCGAGCGGGGCTAATATCATGATTAAATTATTATCTTGGCGCGTTTATGTGCTATCATTGTATCATTTGCTTGTGAACCTTCAGTGATTTGCAACTATTATTACCCATGTTCATTTTATAGTAAAAAACGTGAGTGTGGCTCTCGCGATAGATGTTACTAAATTCAATCATTGACAGTCACATTCTAATCTCTTCAAATTACATGTCGGTTCAATGTTTGAAACGGCCGGGCAACGCAAATTGCATGAACACTTTGAGATAATAGCTATAAGCACGAATGAAATGTAAAATTATTTGAAATATTTGATTAGAAAGAAAAACAAAAACAGACACTGACTAAGTTCTAAGAGTGAACTTATAAAAATAGGGCACTGTGTTTGTAGGCGATGCGTTAGTAATCTATCATTACTTTAAGCTGCGAGACACTTTAACATTTATAGCGCGCCTATTTAGAACACAGCTCGAGGCATTGCTCCTAACTGGTTTAAAACAACCAGAAACCGATACAAATGCACCAGCCGGTATTGTATTTAATTTAATTAATCTCTATACACATATCAACAATCATCTAACGACCTGCATAAATCGCGAATACCGATTCAATTTGAAACACAACCGTGAAATACAAATATACGAGAACCACAAAATAACGGTCGTTCCACACTTAACCTGTTAATCTCAACATATTTCACTGTAACTAAAACCTTAATTGATGTTATCAGATAGTCGCAGATATTAAAGTGTACTGCGCTGTGCAACGCAATGGCGCTATTTACTTACGCACTTACCTTCCATTACCTTTACCTTATAGCTAAAAATAAGAGCAAAACTAATCCACTTGTAAGTAGCTGTCATAAAATGTTTTACGATAGTTACCAACAACGCACGTATGTACCTTATATTACCACAATAAGGTATATATGTAACCTAACAAGCTAGATTAGTCTTCAGATTGTATAGTAATTTGTTAATATAATAAAAAAAATTGTTCACAGGTCGTCAAGGAGGATGATAAGAGGGGAGCCGAAAACGATTCAGGAGAAATGTTCGATTTTTTGCTAGGTATCACCACGGACATATTTCATCGATTCACGTAACAAGAACAACCAATATGCACTAACCAACTGAATGCGTCCGTCACGCGTCACCGTCACATTTCGTTACGGACGGGAGAATACGGATGTGTTGCGTGCTAACTAAACGGAAAAACTGATCGATGACAGCGAAAAATGTCAAACAAAACTTTTGATATATTTTTGTGATTATAAATTTTATTAAAATTTGTAAATATGATGAGGTGCTACTACATACATGTTTCAGATCTTTTATTGTCAGAGTTATAATAACAACGCGTTGAAGTTTCTAACCTCAATGAATACAAATGACCTCAAACCCTATCAAAAATTCATCCCGTTGATGTTTCGACGCCAGTGTAAGTAGAGCTTCTACGTCAAGTGTTGGGTGAACTGAAGTGTAGTGCGGTCTGGTGGCGAGCCTTCACCAATTTAGAATGTAAGCTGTCTTCCGTCAATTGTACCTATAGTTTGATTTTCCATTCCTGTATAAAATCGTGTGCATTGTTCTGTGCATTTTAAAGCTGGAAATCGTGCACCGGACAAAGCAATGCGATATTTTATAATGCAAGCTCTGAATGTGCGTTTGTGGCGTGAACCTTTCACCGCGTTGCGATTTTTTACCTTTATGTTGTAGTTAATTATGTGAACTTTGTAATAGTGTTAAATAAGTTAGTGTTAGAACTGTTACGTCTCTCAATGTAACGATATGAATTGTAAAGAGAACAATAGCCGTGTAACTCGCTAGTTGATATAGCCATAGCGTATGTTATCCTAGTACCTACTGCGACGTTTAGGATAAATTAATGGGAGTCATTTGTTATTGTCAACATGACATCATATTTGTTTTAGTTAACTTTGTGAGATCGCAGCGGACCACCTGTGCTTCCCGAAGTCTCATTAGCAAACAATGATCGGGCGTCGGCGACTACCGAAGCCTCTCGCGATCAATAAACTGCTGAGCCGATAAGAGTACGGCCGTTTGCCGATCTAGGGCTGACATTTAGTTTCTTTAAACGTCAATTTTTTGCATCTACATATAACTTTTTACTCGTCATGTCATACAAATCAGCAAATTTTAGAGAAATGATGACGATGTAATTTTTTTAATTTTTGTCATTTTAACACGCTTTTTCACTTACTAGATGATTTGGTATTTACATATTAAATTGGCAGAAAGTTTCTAGGTGCTGAGTTCATTCGATATCAATAGACCGTTAGCAGTTGGCAGCCCTACATCAGAAGCGCGCACGCCGCAGGCGACACATCCATATTCCTGTGACGTGTTTTGACAACCAGGCTTGAGGCTGGGCAACTTTTTCGTCGTCATTTTTTACTACATTTTTTGCTGCACAGTTCAACGACCCTGCTCCACTCATAAGTGTTATTTTCATATGTAATTACACCTCATAACCGACCGCTTAATTACTCGTAACTGCTGCGACGTCCGGACCCCGAATCCGATCAGAAAAAACCTAATCCGGCGCCGCTCTTAAATTACGCTTCGTTAACCTTCGGCGCGGCTAATAATAGCCTTCAACACTTACAATTCTCACTTTGCATAGGACTGTCGAATGCGTCTTGTCTCTCTACATAATACACTTTTTCTTGCCAATAAACATGTCAATCTACAACCATTATCATACTGGCACATTTTGTTTGTCAATGAGTCATGAGAGTTTCACACAAATGGCAGCGTTTCTCAGCCAATATAAACGCCAGCCATTTTTATAACTAGTCACTTATTTTCACTTTTATTTTATGTATTTGTAATAAATTCATTTTGGTATCATATTATTTGCATTTAGCGGTATATTTTATGGTGTATTTTAAAGGATAACTTTTTTGGTACGGTATATAAAAATGTAAATGAATTGTCAAAAATGTAGGTAAGATAAACACATTATGCACATAAAAGGAAGAGGTTCTTCAAATGTAGATTATGCCAAAATTGTGTGATTTTTTATTTGAATTTATTAGTTGAGTCAAGAGGTTGTGTTTGGTTCAGTCATTTGTAAATGAGCACAAGAAATGGCACCACGTTTATGAATTAATGTAATATATTATTGATGTTTTATAGCTATTTTTTGAAAATGTATAATTTTATTTGACGCAGCATAATTAAACTGATGGTATAGAAAATGTATAATTTGTTTAAACATTTTTGTAACTTGAGACGATATGACATTAATAATTTTCATCCCAGATTAATAAATGTATGCCTATACTATGCGCGAACATCAAAAACCGCTTAACCTAATCTGAGGAATTCTTCAATTTGTAACTGTTTAGTTGGGGACAGGAGTAGGAGGGTTTACACCTCTGTATTATCAAATAACCGATTTGATTTAAGAGAATATTCATAGCCACTGGAATAATTCCTGTAATACGACTGGTTCATGGAAGCGCTGCCACTTATACCTTTATGTGGTCGAATTTCAGTCAGCTAGCTTATATTTAACGATTAAAATGTGCCTTTTATTAGCCACTAAGCGAGTACTTATATGTATGTGGTATAATTATTTAATATAACAATTGTCATAGAGTAACGATAAGTTGCGGCTTATTCCATGTTCAGTAACATCCTAGCATCAGTTTAATTGCATGTAAATATTAAGTATAGTTATAATGCAGCTTTACAAGACTGTTGTCCTTATTTTAATAAATGTTACATCACATTGACGAGTTGACGTCTTTTTAATAAACGCGTTGGAAGCTTTCCTTTCCATTTTCTACGCGTGTTTTGATATTTTGGTCAGTAACTTTGGTATTGATTTTTTATGCATGTTAATGTATATGAATGCATAATAAACTTTTGTAAATGTAAAACATACTAGCTTGAGATATGTTACTATCAATATTTTTGTACTGAAACGTTGTACAGTAAAACGATTATAAACAATGTAATGCCAATTTGGTCGATCGCATTAAATAAAATTGTATCTACTTTCGTCACTTTTATTCTTCAGATTGTACCTACCTGTATATTCAATATGAAAATAAACGTGTTTTATTACAGACGGTTTTTACATTCTAATCGAATTAATTTTTTGCTTACTTTCGTGAGCACTTCATTGTTCGATATTACTGTATTATTAGTTCGCACTTCCATTCGTGCCTTGTCAAATTAACATTCATTTGAAGAAATAATAACGGGTACGCGTGATTTATTCAGGTGAAGTTATTAAGTCTGCTATTACCTGCGAACTGCGGTCATCACCCATTGACCCAGCCGTTTCTCCAATTAAAGCAGCACCCGAGGGTAGCCGCCGACACTCGCAACAATAACTCATAGTCATTTGCTATCTATGTGTCTGCGGCCTGCGCATACATTGTAATGCGGGTTAAGCAGCTCACCAAACTTTTGAACGAGATCCCGTTACTGTTTACTCAACGTTTGACACCGCCGTTTTAAGTGAATCAACTTCTTCACAAAATAACTATTTTGAACTTGGACCCCAAATCGTGTATCGCATTTGCATAAAAATAGTTGCTCATTTGTCTGATTGGCCATATGCAAATAATGTGTGTGCCGTATGGCGGGCGCGGCGCAAGCGCATGGGTCGTTGGCTGTACTCGAGGTATCGTCACCGCGCCTCGTGCCCGCCTAATGGCCTCTCCACCATTACGCCGGTAATAGCACAATATGGCCAATTAGTCCAACCAGCCAAGATTTACCACCACCAGAATAAACCACATTGCGTCAACCGCATTACTCGTACAATTACCTCTGTTTTACACAAGTTCATTTCCAATTTCGTAACCAGACTTTTCTAAAGTTACGCTGGATTTTACTCTGGTCTCTCGTTATAGGACCATTATCTATTCATGTTATCATGTCTATGTAAGTTCTTAGGACATGTGAGAGACGCGTGAGAAACTTCTACTGACTAAAACCCTCCCTTTTCCTAGCAGGATCTTATGAAATTATTAGAAGGTAAAGGACCCGTCCGAGACATTACTTTCAAAACTGTTAAAAATTTAAACAATTAGATTTTCATTTTTGCAATCTTATATCTAATGAATGACAAATTTTCGAAAACTCGAAGTAACTGATGCACGCATCATAAATGTATTAATAACTGCAAGACATCACGTCACAGGATGAAACATGATAAATAAATATTTATTAGAGAGTACAAAAACAGATTCAAAATGGATGCGATACGAGCTTCAGTTCCATTGTGCGAACATCAAACTGCTGGGAGCTATCTTCATCTTCATTACAAGTCCCGCCCACGCGAACAACAGGTGTGTTTCAGTCATTAGTTTATTTATCGAGATAGGATCTTGATGGATGTAAGCACCAAACATCATTACAATAGGCATGATGTGTTCCGTAATGGACAAACCCAACATGTACCCGCTACGAACTGGATGTAGCGAACTTGTTCGACACCTATTGATTTCTAACGAAACAGATATGCAAAACAAAATAACAGTATTGGCACATCACCTGTGTTAGTTTTTGTTTGAACAAAAAGTGTTTGGCGCGAACTTATTACGGAGAACAAATTAGACGGCGTCGTAGATAATTAGGTAGGTACAGCAAATATGGAGAGTATTATTTAGGTAGTAATTACTGGGTTTGAGGGGCGAAAATGCGCGCATGACAAAGCAAATGTTGACCGTGACCTAGAGATATATGCAAACACTTGCGGCGATCAACTGAAGAGGACTCGAAGCTTCACGGCCAATAAAGGCGCAACAGCCAGAGACCACAACCTACATGTGTCTACTGTGTAGACACCTCGATACGCTCGCTAATTGAACATATTTTGGAACCGAACGAAAACAAGTTAAACAACTGCATACCTATGCTTCGTGCAGAATCGATTGCAAATTAATGTCATCGGTTAAATCCTAGCGGTTTGTCTTAATGCGGATGTGTCCCCAAATACTGGCCTCATTACGAGTTAATGCATGCATTTGCGTATTATTGATATACTCTAATGTTAATTTTTGCAATTCCGCGTTAAGTAGGCACGTAAATAAGGTGTTGCGGGTCAAGCGTATTAGGTAATGTATCGGAACCCAAGCATTGCACAGGAGAAGGAACGGGATAATTATTTGTTAGTAAGAGTCTAGCACTCCTTCTCGCCCCACGCAGGACGAAAAGATTTTCATCTTTCAAAAAAAAAGGTAATGTGATCGAATATTCAAAACAAAATTAAAATACGTGTCAAGAGAATTACGAATACTATGTTTTGGCGCAAAGCGAACTGGCCAGGCTCGACCGGAACAACACCTACTTTGTGTTTCGCTGTTGTTGATGTACAAAGTTTATTGCCTTATGCCCAACTCTGAAACCCCACCACGTGCAACTCGTCTGATATGGCCAGCTTCCAAGGGCGGTGCTGGTTGCTTACCTTCAAGTGGACGACCTTATTGTTTGCCGTCCTATCCCATAAAATTGACATCTCATTCCTCATCCACACTTGTATGTCGTACCTACATGAAAAAAGTGTTGTATAAATAAAGGTTAGGTAAGCACTGATGTACTTAGGTAATACAGAAATTTTTCAAGAAGATACCCTAGTAATACTTAAAAACTATATTTAGTCGTCTGATACCTACTACCGTGCATCGTGTGCATGTTAAACGGTATCTATGTCATTAGGTTCGGTTGTCCTACAGAATATAGATATTTATGGATAATGATGAGCCGCTTTAAGAAGGACCGAGATATCTCTGAAGACTGTGCACTTGGCCGAATCACACATCGTTATATGTTGCCAAATTTATGTAATCAAGTGCGCTTAAAGTATCAGGTAAACCAAATAGCCAATCAATGTTTAAAAACACAAAAGGTAAGTGCGCTTACTTACCAAGTTAATGACATCCTGTTAAATTAGTATGTTAGTGTACCTATTTATCTACCTGAGCGTGGGCCTGGGATAACGGTCTACTTATTAGGCACAGTTGCTTTCAAATCGTACGGCTGATTTATCATGTACATAAGACAAAAAAATTACAACAGAACTCGAGACGACTGTCAGTTATATTTTTTACATATACTACACAACGAAAACAACTTTTTGCCATTTCGCTTATCACTTGATAGTTCTCGAAATTAGTTTAGACCATCATTTTATTT